GCACAATAATTTTTTTTTACAACAGTAGCTCAATTATAAATGTTTGCATATTTCTTTGTTTTTAACTCAAATTACAACCAATAAATTGGTTGGTCAAAACCAATAAATTATAGTCTTARACATTACTGATCAAGTAAGATAATACTTACAATGTAAAGCAAGAGCTAATCTTAGGATTTTCTAGGACCATAAAATAAATTATATCAGTTTCCAACTGTCCATGCGCAAAAGAAAGAATTTTAACACTAATTGAGCAACCATTCAAACAAATGTATTTCAAATTTTTAATGAAACGTTATTTCTATGTGAATAGCTCTAGTTCGAAATATGCTATCATATTAAAACTAATGTTAGCCAATACAATTAAATAATTTATCTTAATGCACCCATGGTATCTCCAATTCCATCTATAAGACCTCAGGAAGTAGATGTGATTGAATTATCATAGAGAAGCAACCAGTTTCTGCTACACTTCATGTATTGGGGAATGTTAACTATTCCAAGTCCAAAAAAAACTGCCAGGAGACCCAAACCACGTGGAGTCTAAGAGGAAAACTCCCCCATGCTTTCAGTGTGCTTCCAAAAAATTWCCCTTTCCTTGTAAGTTCACAGTCAGCTTCTAGCAACTCCCAAGTAGAGAGTAAAGGACAAAATGAAAAAGACCAAAGTGGAAGATTTTTATGGTGTTAACATATTTCAAGCTATTCGTGCACAAGGCTCAAGAAGGCATCAGATGAAAGCTTGTTATGTTTCAATATTAAAAGGCAGAGCTGCAGTTCTGGCCAGGAGCAACTTTCATGCCGCTAGCATAGAAATTTCCCAAGGTATGTCAGGGTCAGCACCATAAACGAACACAGAAGCATGCTAGAGAACAAACTGGAAATGAAGAAGCAGATCTCCCATTCTTTCCAATAATTGAAATATGCTTATTTCTTATGTTTTTATTGTTGATCATAAAATCATTTTCAGATGGTCCTAAAGCTTTTTAAAAAGTAATTTGGTGGAACAGTGTTCATATTCTGCAACTCATTTGGTGTCTTTCCAGAAGTCCCCCAAATTGAAATCTTAAAATATGCTTATTGGGATGAAAAACCAGCTTAAAAACAGTTTTGTCAAACAAGTCTGTTTTTTTTAATTCAATGAATGATTTTAAAAATTAGCTTCATTGTTTTTTAATTCACCATCTGTTAACTCAATAAATATGAGTTCTTAAAGTTAACCTAATTGTCTTGGAATTTGCTGTTTTTGAAGTTGATTAAAGTTATTTAAATTAATTTTATTGTATATCCAGACTAAAACAAAGCATGTCTGCATTTGGATAGATCTTGGCTAATAATTTACAAATAAATGTGCCCATTCCTAAAATGAACCGCTTATGTTTATGTCTCTTAATATGTATCAGTCAATGTGCGATATGCAGAAAGAGATGCTGATATTAGATCATTAAGGAGGTAGTGCCTCAACACACCAAAAACAGTAGCCATTAAAAACTGACCAAATACAAAATTTTCATTAACCCTATCTCATATCTAGTAAAGAGGAAATGTAGAGTAGAAATATTGGAATGCAATTTCTTTTCACCCTGCACCTCCATTGATTAGAGGAGCTACTGTGTTATTTCTTTAAATATTGTCTTGTCTCTGGTCACAGTTTATTGGAGTAAGGGTGAACACCAGACCTACATCAGTGAATTAGATTATTTCCTGAGAATTGTGAAACGCAAAAAAAAAAAAAAAAAAAAAAAAAATGGTCCTTTCTCTGGATGCCTTGACTGGAATATCTGAACATCCATGGCTCAGGAACAACTAACTGGCAACTCTGATTCACTATGTGACTTGAGAAGAGGAGGGAGCTGGACTATCATGAGGAAGAAAGACAAGGATGAGACGCAGAGAAAGGATTGACTGAGTTTCCTGTGGTAATTCAATACTCCATTCCTGAGGCTCTGTTGTAGCCTTGATTTTGGATTGCATTAAAAGCCTCAGTGTGTTCTTCCCCTTTTGTGTAAGATCAGACTGTCAGCTTCTGACATTTACAAATCAAAAAAGGCTGAACTAAATGCAAAACAGAGGAAATCTTCCTACTAGAAATTATGATTATTTAATCAGGGATTTCTAAGCTTCACACTTTGCCCTGATTTCCTTCAGATAAGGCTATGTGTTTAATTTTAACATGTATTTTTTATGTTATGGTCACTGTTTTCTAGGGCTTATCTAACAATCTTTGTGTATTCCCAAATAACATTATGTTTTCCTCCAAAAGTTTTATGGTTTTAGTCTGCACTTAATTCTATAACCTATTGCAAATGAATTTTGTCTATGGTGTGAGGTACTGATCCAGGTCCCTTTTATCCCCGATATGAATATGGAGCTACTTTAGCATCATTGTTTGAAAATACTTCCTTTTGCACATTGAGTTGTTTTGGAGAAGGTGAATATAGGGTGAAGAGGGAGGTGTGGAGAAGCCATCTGAATTTAAACTAATGAGTTAGATTAATGAAAGGGAGACTTGTTTTATTTTATCAGTTTTATTAATGTGTTTACCAAAATGATAGTAGCTTTACTTGACAACAAGAAAATGGGTCGATAACACATTCATCAGAACTCACTTTCTCCATAAGCTCACATGCAATGCATTTAAAGACACACCCGATAACTGAGTCAACCAAGTTTTTTGTCTTTTATTGCTTGCTTACCCCTTTCCGTGTCTGCATAATGTGTATTCACTGATGCTCCAAACACTAAAAGGAACCATGCATGCTGAGGTCCATGCTGAAGCTATACCCATTACATGGAATAGGCTACATTCTCTCATGATTGCTAAACAATAACAAACTGATGACCAAGTCAAAACAGAATTCAACTGCTGGTGGTCCTGCTTTATTTCTTTGGCCTATTCGTACAACAATGAGGACTCTTGTCTTTCCAAGTACATAAACAGACTTCAAGTTTCTCTCATGAAGATCCCAGAGCAATATCATGTCATGTTTGAGATGACCTCAAAGTGAGGATGATTCTCACACTCCGTCGACTGGAGAAGCATGAATTTCACCTTCATGTAAATCACCTTCAAAGCAAGATAGAAAATTCTTAATATCTGCTCCCAAACACTAGGGTAAACAGATAAATTAACTGGTTCAGGGACTGTGACCATTGAAGGTACTTCCTAGGCCTGGCTTGCTCTCTTTGAGTGCTGAAGGGCTCAATGTCTTGGTATATTGGTTATACTTTTGTAACATAGCATTTTGGGCCATTATCATCTAAGCATTTGTCAAAAATATGTCATACGTGGATGGAGAGCTATAGTTTGGGCTGGAAATCATCCCTTATACTATTTCTGGAAAACTTTACCTCTAATTACCCTGGAAAACCATCCCATCCTCATCCCTAGCCTACATGATCTTGGTACGGAGGCTATATAACCAAATTCAAGGGTGGACATTTGACCTAAGGGTGCTGACCCCGGTACAGCTGCTGATTTCTGAGTACAGGAATGTGTACATTACACAATTTGATGCAGTCACAATCAGGTAGTGTTCTGTAGCTGTAAAGTGAAAAAGGAATATTCTTCCTGCTGGAGTTTCTATGTCAGAAGAATGGAAGCTGGGAGAAAAGCAGGACTAAGAATGAAGTTAAAACAGAAGTTAGCACAAAAGACAGCAGAGCCAAGATATGGTTGGTTACATTGTTTGCATACCTAAAACCAATTTTCCCTGAAGCAGTATTTACAATGTTTTTTTTTTTTCTTCCCAACTTACAGGAAGAGAGGAGAGTAGAGGAGGGACAAAAAAGGGAAACAACAGTAAAAATAAAACTTATATTTCAGGTTGGATTTGTCTTCYGAATCCATTTGGAATGCTGGATTTCACCTGGCTCCTCAAATCTGAATTTCTGGAAATGGAGCCCTTACATTTCAACAGTTATTCCCATTTTAATTCTACACCCGCAGAAGTTTGAGATCAGCTCATCTAGTCTCTTCATTGTATGGTTGAGCAAACAGAACTATGAAGACTAAGTGTCTTTATCTAGATCACTCCCCACCACCTATTTATTCTATGTATATGAGAATTATCAGTGAAAGAGAACAAAAGTCCTTAACTTCATGGATATCAACAAGTCAGATGCTTAGTAGCAGAACGAAAATCAGAAATCAGTTCAACTCTTCCTGGTGACCTGATATCCCTACCTAAGGGCATGCTCTAATACTCAGCTTCCTTACTCCAACACTTTTTTTTTTTAAATGTATTTAGTAATGGCAAAGATTCTACATTGGGCAGCCTTCACAGCACACAATTTGAAGGTATATGTTACTAGTGCTTGTGGTCAGGTATTTGCAAACATTTGCACCAAAACRACAGAGAAGGCAGCAGAAGGAAGCAGAGGCAGTACCCACTTTTACTCCCCAAGTCTCCAACAGACAAAAAGGTCTTTAAAGACTCTTTTGTGTTTTGTTAAGAAAACCACATAAAATGCCGCATTCAATTTCATCAAGTGTGTAACTCTGTTTTAATAGAAATAAAATATTTTCTTCTCAAATCTTGAAGTGAAAACTAGTMCAGAAATAGAGGCCATAATTATTATTTGACTTGTGCATCCCCAGCACACCATAGACTCATCCAGGAAGTTACTTCTACCCCACTCCTAACACAATCCATTCACTTTTCTATTCTTATTCAGATCCTAGGATTTTTTTCCATAAATGACATTAATAATAAAAGTAACAAGTGCTAGTCTTTATTGAGTACTGACTCTGTGTTGAAGCACTGTGTATGTACTACTAACTACTAGAGGAGAGCACTGCTATTTTCCATCATATCAAAGAGGAAATTGAGGCAGAAGGAAATAAGAAGACTTGGTCAAGGTCACATGGGTAATAACCAGTTGAAGTAGGATTAGAATCCAGGTACTTGAACACCTGAGGCTGTTTCACCTACATATTCATTTACTGCCAAGTCTGCTTGAAACATTTTTGCCTATGCTGCCCCTTTGTATTTGAAATCTCTTGGGACACATAAAATGGGTGGTTTTATGGTATATAAATTATATAATAAAAATCAAGAAGGTTGAACAAAAATTGTTGACATGTACCACCAAGTTGTTAAGAATCTAAAGATCTGGCTGGGTATGGTGGTATACACCTATGGTCCCAGAGACTTGGGAGGCTGAGACAGGAGGATCACAAGTTCAAGGCCCCCCTCAGCAACTTAGTTAGACCCTGTGTCAGAATAATAAATAAAAAGGGCTGGGATAGAGTGATAGAGAACCCCTGGGCAATCCCCAGTACAAGTGTGAATAATATATGGACTAAATGGATAATATTAGAATGTCCCTAGGAACAAAACCTATAAGAAACTATAAAGCATGCCTTTTGAATGAACACCTAGTGTTTCTAATATTTTAAAATTTATAGGAAAGTGTGAGGTATTGTTACACATTTCTAATTGTTAAGTAGCAGGCAAACATGACTTCAAAGCAGGAGAGGGGCTAATAAGAATARGGATTAGTGGACTAAATTTTAAAAATGAACAATAATTAAATTTAAAATGAAAAAAAATTAAAATTAAATTTCCCCAAGACAGTATAGGCACATTGCTATTGAATAGATAGAGCTAAAATACACTCTGGTGGTTTTAATAAAGAGTTTGACTTTCACTAGAAACACACACATATATACAGAAGCTATTTAAAACATGTCTGCAGGTCAAAATCAGCTTAAGGACTACCATTATACTTAAACATGTGGATAAGTTGTAAATATTTAATATTTAAAATTTTCATATAAAATCCAAATTTTCAGCATTTCTTCAGAAATTGGGAGAGCTGACATTTGGCATCATTGGCATTTACTTTCTGGTTTAGACACAGAATATATTCTTGGGATTAGAGCAGTCCCCACCACTGCTCATGGTCTTAACTTGTTTTGCTTTGCTCGCTTATATCCATGCTTGGCTCCAGATGGGTATAAAAGTTTGCAATCCCTGATGTATGGAGTAATGTCCCAACTCCAGAGAGTGTCTCCAAGGTCCTTCACAATTTGGAGCTGTTTGGTTCCAGCCACACTGAATTCCTTATGGCCTTTCCTAAATAACAAATTTTGTCCAAGCGGGTCTGTTTGGAATATCCTCCCTTCAACTTTCCTCTCTATCTAGAGGAATCTCACTTATCCTGGTCAAGTGTTAGTTCTTCCATGGAACTTTCGATTTGCTTCTTCCTAAGTGTTCCCATAACACTTGGGTGCCTCTACAAGTATTGTAATGACTTTTTATGTTTATCTGCCCAAACGGAAAATGTGTTCCTTGAAGAGGAGAACACTTAATCTATACCTCCAGTCCTTAATAGGCATCTACTAGGTGTGCATTGAATAGTTATTGAGTGAACAAAAGGTAGTGTAAATGAACAAATACTTCCATCAGAATTTTTTGCATTACAAGATATTATAAAGCATTTGACGTTTACAATAAGGGAAGTAACTACTCCAGATCAACTTGTAAATTTTGATAATGATCATGACATTTTCAGATAACAGTTGTTAAAAGTTCCTGTTCTTTGTACCCTCGACAGGAAAACAAGTCTTAAAGAAAATAAAATGTACGTAATATTTGTAAATGTAAGAGTGACTTAAAATTGATAGGGTGCCACATGTAGGTGTTGGATAGGTTAAACACTTGATTCAAAAAGATAGTAGATGGTAAAAGAAGTTACAATTATGTCTCCCTATAGCCAGGTGGCTTTTCTGGCAATGTATATCCTGAATAAAGGAAGACTGAGCCACAGACAATGAGTTTTAATAGTTTAGCTGGCAGGCTGTGATAGGACAAGGGTTACTGCTAGTTTGGCTGTCCTTAGAGCTGGGTATCATTGCTCCCTATGTTTGGGTACAAGCTAGGCTGCAGTGTCTTGTGATGATGTGATAATTCCATGAAACCATGCAACTAGTCTTAATTGATCAGCAGTGAGCCCAAATGATGTGTGTCATTTCTTGGCCACTTTCGGTGTGAAACTCTCCAGAGTGAGCTTTATTTTTACCATAGCAACATGAAACATCCAAGATGGTGACTGCTCCAGTAGCCTGGGACCTGGAGTAGGAAGATATGGAACTGATCTACTGACCTACAATAGACACACAGCATAAACAAGAAGGCAATTTTTGCTGTTTATAGGCTACTAAAAATCAGAATTGTTACTCCAGCATAGCACAGCCTATCCTAACTGATAAAATAGATTTGCTCTTCTTTGCTGCAAATGTCAGAACAGTAATGGTTGGAATTTTCTGGAAGATCAATTCTATGCAGTGTAAGAAAAAATGTAATAATTTGTATAAAGATGGAATGAACTACTGTGGAAATTATTCATTTCTTCATATAATATATATTGAGCTCAACCCTGCAGTAAGCATCCTGTTGATAAAATCCCTGCCAATATGGGGAGTAGGTGGTGAGTTTCCCTTTACTCAAGTTGTCTATGCTGAATGACCCCTAAAGGTTTGAAATGACAAATTATCTTAAAGAAAAAAATGCCTTTCAACCCAGAGCTTCAGGATCTCTACTGTCTCTGCTTTAAAAAGAAAAAAAAAAATCTAAAAGAAAAAAAATTGTTTTTCTCAATTCAAGCCCTTTACTGATCCATTGAGTTGTCTTTTCACATTTTAATGTCATTTTCCCAGCAAATAAGTTCCCTGAAAGCCAATACTGTTTTATCTCTCCCCTTCCATCTTTCTCATATTATTTAGTAGGCAATATTTTACTGTCTATTCTTCTAAGAATATAATCAGTAGTCTTTGATACTAGCTACTATTATTGAACATTTGATGTGTATCAGATTTACTTGTCTTTCAACCATTTAAGTTACATTTGGACTTGTTTTAAAAATCCAGTAGCACTAGCATCTTACTGTCTTAGTCCATTCTATGCTGCTAAAACAAAATACCTTAGACTGAGTAATTCATAAACATAAGAAATTTATTGCTCAGAATTCTAGAGGCCGGGAAGTTCAAGCTCAAGGCACAGGCAGGTTCAGTGTCTGGTGAAGATCTGTTCTCTACTTCACAGATGGCACCTGTTTGCAGTGTATTCTTCAGGTAGGAGGAGCATGGGTGCTAGTCTGAGTCTCTTTTTAAAAGGAGTTAGTCTCACTCATGACAACTCCACCCAAGTGGCCTCCCTCCGAATACTATCACATTGAGTGTTAGGTTCCAACATATGAATCTTGGGGGTACACCAACATGCAGACCATAGCAATTAATTTAATAACTTTCAGGTTAGATGCTCTTTTCTTCCAAATAAGGTCTTAGCATTGTGGTATTGAATTTATGGCCAATTACAATATTTCACTAATATCCTAGTTCAGTATGTAGTTAATGAACCCCTACTATATGCCAAGGCATAAGGCTTGCCCAAGAATTCAAACTCTGCTATTTAATGCACTGCACCCAGARTTACATACTTCTGTATTGTAATAGAGCCTATGAGCTCTCTGATTAAGACTATTTGTGGTGGTGGTGGGGGGGACAAATTCGAAAGGTTGGGGCATAATGTTCTCTTGGTTTGACTCAAGGGAGTATATCACACTTTAAATTATGGGGGCTTAGCTGATAATTTGGGAATGTAGATAAGTATGTAAGTGAGAAAACAGCAATTCTATTTTTGAATTTCAAATTTCTGTTAAGCTTCATTTCAGGCTTTCAGAATTGGAGAATCAGCTGCCTGTTACAAGATATTACTAATAAGCAGTAATTAAAGTCTGAGAATATATTTTTTTCAATTCCAAACCTATGTCTTTCTCAGATGGAGCTGTTGGTTAAGCAATTCAGCATTTTGGTAAATTAAGGCAGAAGAATTTGATATCACTTGGACCTGTGGGGTAGAAAATAATCTAGGAAAGAAAACTTGTGTTTTACTTTGTTTTGCCTATTGCAATCATTTGTATCTTTCTGCTCTGCTTTATAAAACTAGAACTTGAGATGGGCACTTGTATGTTAAAAAGGGAGGGGGGCTAGTTCCCCAAAAGAACACTAATGCATAATTTTTTTATATTGTGTCTTTGGAATTGTCTCTGCAGAAAATGATGATCAATAGAAAAAGATGGGTAAGTTCCAGTAAGTTCAATATCCCTGGATAGAAGGTGGGGGTGCATATCAGAAAGCAGCATGAATGCACATGCTATTCTCCTTTATTTAGAAAAGCCACACAAAAATACAACACAGTTGATGTGTTTGTTACCAGAGCTTGAAACGCAAATCAACCACTGTGTAAAAGATAAAATAAGACTGCACAGATATCAGGATTTTCCCAGTGTGTTTTATTCATAGGCATCTGACAGAAGAGGACCTAACAGAGCTTTTAGGAAAAACTGAATTCTCAGCCCACAGTCACTTTCCAGGAACTTCCCAGCAAACAGTGCTCTGCACTGGCAGGATGGAAATCTTAGCAATCTCTCTCCTGCTTCGGTAGTTTCCTTCTAAATACAATCATTTATGGGGACTTAATGAGAGAGCAAGCCTTGTGTGAAAGGAACTCAAGAAAGTACAGCTTCTAAAAATATACCTAGGCGGCTTTACAGTCTTTATTGTTATAAACTGACGTTTTGCAGTTCATGCCCTGAACCTAACAACTCCACTCCTTGCCAAACACTCGCATACAAAGAGAAAAAGTAAAAAACTATGTTTTCTCTTTCTGCAATCCCCTTAACTTTGAGTAAACAGTAGTAATCTGCTGTTGTCATACTCTATGCAAATTCTCCAAAGGCGACACAATACAAAAGACCTGTTAGCTTCCTTAGAGCTAGGGGACAGGGTTGGCAGGGGGAGAGGGTTAAGGTGGATCCAGTTCCAGTTTCTTAACCTGGGTTTCTGAGCCTCCAGTTATCCTGGTCTTTCAGAAATCTTTGGAGTTTTCCCATTTGGGAAGGTTCCCCTAGCCCGCATCTCCAGAGTCACTAGTTAATGAAATCTACATTCCTTCCATTCTTTGCCCCCAGCTTCTTGGGAGAAACTGTTCATCAGCTTAGGCATCTCCTTCCAGTGGGTTGAAAAGTACAGCTGCTACCATGAGGATAAATGCTGAAACAAATGCACTGAGGTACAGCGTGGGGGTCTGCAAGAGAGGGCCTGCTCATTCTCCTTCTGCCACGTGCTCCTCAGTTGGGGTGCAGGGCTCCTAGATGGGGGGAGGCGATGAGAGGGATGAGAATGCCATGAAGGAGGCTGAAGGGAAGGAGGCCCTCTAGTACAGATTATCTCAACCGAATATTGACAAGAAAAATAAATTGGCCCACATGCCCCTAGTGGGGAGCAATACACCCCACGCAGGTTAGGTTGGGGGGTGCTTCGAAGCCTCTTACCTGACTTCCTACTCCGCAGGCACACACACGACACCCTCCCCTCCTCTCCCCCCCCACCCCCCAAAAGCCAAGCCAAACAACGAACAACAAGAGGAAGCCGCAGGCGGCAAGAGGAGGGGGTGCCGTGGTGGGGGCCTAAGAGAGGTGAGGGGGCAGGGTTGGCGGGCGTCGAGAACTGCGCCGCGCACCCCCAAGCGCACTCCCAAGCGCCCACACTTACCCCTCGCGGCTGGGAGTCTGGTCTTCAGCGCCAACCCGGGTGCGCGCCCCCTCGCCCGCCCTCGCTGCTCCGGCCCGGCGCACCCCCCCAATCCCGGCCCGCGCCCTGGGAGGGCGCCCGGGAGAGGCGGCGGCGGCGGTGGTGGCGGCGCGGCTCGGGCTCGGCTCGGCTCGGGCTCCAGTGCGCCTAGTGTAGCCGGCGGCCGCCGAGGCTCCCACCGCCAGGGGGAGAAGCCGCGGCGGGCGCAGGGAGGCGGTCCGGGCCCTGGCCGCTCGGCCGGCCAGCCCGCGCAGCACWAGCTCCGAAGCGGCGGCGGCGGCGGCGCAGGGTCCGCAGATCCCCAGGGCGCAGCGTGCCCGGCCCCAGGCGCCGCGGCTGGATGCGCGCCCCGGGTAGCCGCGGGCTCCCGCGGGGGGCGCCCCGGACGCTCCGGTGCGCCTCCAGACTGCGGGCGCCGCGACCGCCKAGCCGAGAGCAGCTCCCGCCGGCCCCTTCCCCCTCCCGCCCCCGCCACCGCCCCCTCCCCCTCCCCCCCGTTAACATCTCCTCCCTCCCCTCTCCTCTTCCTTCCCTCGGCCCCGCGCGCTCGCTCGCTCGCTCCTCGCCTCGCTCTCCCCTTTAAACGCCCACTTCGGATGGGGAAAGAAGACAACTTGAAGTCAAGTTGCAATTAACTTCCGCGGCAGCCGCAGCTCGGCTGCGGCCGCAGACGAGGCAGTAGCCGCCGCCTCGGAAGTCCGACGCCGGCGCGCCCGCCCGGGGAGCCGTTCCTGGTCTCGGGCCCGCACTCGACAGCCACCGCTGCCCCCAACGCTCATGCCTGAGTGAGTTCAGCTCTTTTGCCTCTCCTTCCCCATGCTGCTTATGCTCTTTTATCTACGTCTCTTGTCTTTTTCCGGAATCGATCCAAACTTCTCTGTATCACCCACCCTCGGCGCCCCTGGTTGGGGCGGCTCAGCTCACCTCTCCTGGGCGCCAGGCGACAGGGGTCTTCAAGCCCTTCTCCCGCGCGCTGAAGGATCCCGGAGGGGGTGGGTCGGTTGAGTGAGGGAGAGCGGTCGGGATGGGGGACTTGAAGATGCCATTCGTTCTCTCTCGGGGTGTGGACACACTAACACACCTGCCGGACAGATCTTGGCTGAACAAACTCATTCAGGTCACCGGTACGGTCCCTTTTAGTAGAGAAAGGGGGAGCGAAAAAAGACAGAAGGAAGCAAACGGGAAAAGGGGGAACCTCTCTGTGCGCCCTAGAGCCGGGCAGGCAGCAAGGTGCCGGGTGCTGTGGGCTGGGGGGATGGAAACGTTCCCCCGCCAGATCGCGAGTCGGCTCAGCATCCTTTCCCAGCCCATCTCCACCTTCCTCCGCTCCCGGCCAGCGCGACTGGTTTTAAGCGGCAGCGGAGAGGGACCCGGGAAGTTTGTGGCAACTTCTTCGTCCCGGGAGCCGCTCGGGCACTGGGGCGCTCAAGTTGGAGCCGGGAGTTTGCAAGCACTTATGTTCAGAGCCCTCGCTGGCTATAGGGAAGTGGGCCCTGGAGGGGCTGCTAGCGTGAATGCGGGTTTGGAGTTGAGTTGGAGGCAGGAGGAAGTGCTGCCCTCTTAGCCGGGGCCGGGACATCACAGGTGCAGCTTCGGGGTCTGCAGCACGGCTCTCTTTCTACTGTTCTGACCGGAGCGCAGCGGCCTTCTCCGAGGGCTTCTCCACTGCAGAAGCTCCCGGGGCGGCAGAACCCCGGGTTTTGGGAAATCACAATGAGAGGGTCACAGCAGGCAGGTGGCAGGTCCAGGGAATAAGTAACACGTGCATACCGGAGGAAAGCACTGAGCGGGACCCTCTTAGGATGACCCCCAAAGACCAAGAGAGATGAGCCCTGTAGAACTCTGGGCGGAGGTTTTGGCTCTAGCCTCCACGAGGGCCAAATTTCACTTACAAGTGTCAACCACAGGGTCATCTCTCAGAGTGCCCTGGTTGGCAACTTTGACCTCAGCGCCCTTCCTCAGTGAACTTTCTCAGCGGCAGACCGAATTTCTAGGCAAATGGTGTAAGACTTTGGACTCCACATGGTTGTAAAAAGAGACAGGGAAAACAGAAAGAAGCCCGATTCCCTGGAGACCACCTTTCTGCCCCGAATGACTGAGGTTCCATGCTTGCATCCTTGGAGGCCAGAGGACTTGACTTTTCCAAGAGGAGAGAGGAGGGGAGCAAGATGAGTAAAACGCCTCTGCTCTGTGTCAGGTTTGTCCTAAGCAGTCCCTGAAATTTACAGTGTTTGTTGAGGTTGACAGAGTAACTCACCCGTCGAAACTTTATTGAAATTTACACCCCATCTAAAGTGAATTTTTTGAGAATGTGAAATTTATTCTATAGTCGAATGATGCTGCAGTAAATAAATAAATAATAAATAAACTCCCATTTTAAGTCTGAAGAAAGCCAAGGTTGAGGTGTTTCCTTTAAAAACCTTTATTAATCTCTTGTGTGGTACTAGTGCTATGATTTAGCAGCAGTCCTTTATTTCTATTGCATATTATTTTAGTAGAACAGTAGTACATTCATATACTGGCTGCTCCAGTCTGCTGGCAAACATTAGCATTCAAGCTTACATTTTTGACAAATGTGCAGACAGGAATAGCATGAATAGGCATCTTAAATATTAACAACCTAAGCATCTGTTGTGAAACAAATTTAATATATTTACTCTGTTTTTCTCACATTGTTAGAAAAGGTTATAATAAGTGCATAATTTCAACTTTAGTTAGCAGAAGTAACTGACTGTATCTTTCACTACCTTTCCAAGTGTTTAACACAATCACCAGTTATAAATACTTTAATTAACTTGCTTGAGCACATTATTAAATACACTTCCAACAGTATGCATGCTATGTAACATGTAACAGAAACAAAAGATGTATCCTATTTGTGTACATCTTAAATGACTACATTTTTATAAATATACCAAATATGTTTATTCTTCATCACATTTGACTCCTGCTACTTTATATTCTTTTCTAATGGAAAAAATATTTTTAATGTAGAGTTATGTTCAGTCACATGTTATACATAAAATGTAAACAGTACCTCCAAAATCCAAAGCATTGTTAAATCTGACTATGGCTACGTGTAACAAGATTATGCAAGAGAAATAAAACCACTGCTCAATTTTGTATTCCTTTCTGAATAATGAATACAAATGATGGATGAAAAAGAACAGGGATTTCCCTCCTAAAGAACTAGCTCCTTAAAATGTGGTGGTGGAGGGGAGATAAAGAAGACCTACAGAACTTCCAAAAGTCTGAATAGTTATTTCCAGAATCAATGCATTCCTCACTTTCCCACAAGCTGAAATATGTAATAAATAATAGTTCTTTGTATGTAAAAGTATTCAAGAGGAATGCCTTTTGTTCAGTTGTAATAAATTAATATATTCTTTGGTTGATAACCTACAAAAGTAGTTCTTTTGTCTCCCAGCATCTTAATCAAGAACAACAACAAAATGAGTGTTGGTTTATTTCTGCCAAGAAGTCTGTTGCCAGCTATATGAGCCTGTGATTGAATAAGATATGATGTGCTGAGTGATGGTTAAGAAACACTACGTTACATTAGCAAAGACTGAAATTTCTAGAGTAGAATTTCAATTATTTTTTTTGTGTGTGACAGGTTGTGGATTGTAAATTAGGCCTAAAAGGTCAGGTGACAGGCACCTGTTCCTCATTATTGTAAAAATCTTTTGGTTACAAACACTATTAAGCTAAACACAACATGGATATACAGCAGGGACTCTATAAAGCACTTTAGTGGTTTTTCATCTGCTCTGTAAATTTCCAGAAGAGCCATACATAGATAAGCTCTTTACAGAGATATATCATTTCTTCCATACATGTTGTCTTGGATGACTGCAATTAATGTGAAGTACATAAATACATGTGACGAAATCAATCTTTAGATGATGTCTAGACATACTCTAGTTGAATGTAAAAAAATTCTTTTTTAAAAACCTCTCTTTTCCTTTATAGTCTATCGATCAGTTATCAGAATTTTGTTCATGTTTTAAATAGAAACTTCCCCAAATTGCCTTTTATACTTTTTAGATGAGTTTGCATTTTAAATGATACCACAAAACACTTTGCTCGGTACTCACATATAAGGGGAAAAGTAGCTGCTATATATTGTCATAGCTTTCTAGCATTCATAAAATGGGAAGAAAATCAGGTTTTATATGAATGCTGTTAGGAAGGGTGTCATCATCTGATCTCCAAAGTTGCCACTTTTCTCAGGAGTGTTCAGAATTCTTCTATTGGGATTAGGGAGTATGGCTTAATTTTTTATGAATGGTTTATCTTTAGATATTGCACAGAGCAAAATAAGCATGCATATGGAAAAGATCAAACTACAACAAGGTTGCCAAATATTAAAGGTGCTAGTTGCTTTTAATGAGCAAAGGAGGAGGACTTGAAGTAGATAGGTCAGATTATTGTTATTTAAATGTTTTTGTCTTTTTTTGGTTTTTACATAGCTTATGCTTATTATATTAAGTATTCATTTTTAGCATTTGTGATCAGATTATGAAACAGTCATTACTCTTGCTTTTCAAATTGATTGGGTTTTCAAACTCCAAAACTCTGTGATGATTTTTACAAATTGGTTTACATTTTGACAGAACAGAGTTAAGTTAATTAATAGATCAGGCACGAAAAATCATCCACGGTAGGGTATATTTTCTGGTAAAATGAAAGTTATGTTTCAGCATGATGAGCATCAGGCTTCAGTAATCTGTTCCTCGTGTGGAATGAACACTTCCTACTTTGAGCTAGCAGGCACCTACTGTTTATTTACGCTGCATTAAACTGACAGCTCAGCAATCAGAGGAAAAATATTACTTACCTTCCTGAAGTAAATACCAGTTTATAGGTTAGTGCACGTATTTATATTCCTGTCACCACTAAATAACGGCTCTGTCTCCATTTTAATATCTACCTGTGCTATAATCCAGGGCTTCAGACTCTTCCTGGTTGGGAGTAGGGGTCCAGAGGAGTTTTGCTTATCATTTCCCAGTGGCAAAACTTTAAAGAAGAGTAATATCATCTTCTCATTTCTGTCATGTGAGAACCAGTTGAAAGAAATGTTATGCACTTTTACTTTGCATACCTCAACTATAACATCAAAACCCCCAAAGAATCTGCATGCCACTTGAAATAGTCATCTTAAAGCAACCTCAGGACAAATATGTTCAAACACATTCAAGAGTGTGTTTGCTAAATTGACTTTCTACAAAGTTCCAAATAGGTTAAACTATTTAATTCCTTAGATAATGACTGTGATAAAGTGTCTTCCCTTCCAAGTCTTAGATGGAATGCTTCAGTTTTTAATGGAGTTAAGTGGGGCTCATTGGTTGATTGATTGATTCTCTTAGCTTTCCCCTGAAAATATTCTTGTCTCCTTTATTTGTCTTCTTGTTAACCTGCCATACTTAAAATAAGATAGATTCCTACTTTCTTATAATAGTAGTGTATTTGTTGTTTTCTTTTAAAGTAAAGGTCCCTTCTCTTTCAAAGCCCTTTGAAACATCAAAATCCCATTCAAGTTGAATTCCCAAACTCATGATTAACTTTTGAGAAAATGCTCATTTTCACTTAAATTATCAAAGAAGCTCTGACACTCATTGTCTATTCATAGTTGTCAATCTCTAATCACGTATTCCATTGACATCAGAGCAGAATATGGCCTTAATACAGCATATAAATCAAATCTGTTACACGAGTTTCTTTTTCTTCACTATACCAAAGAAAAAAGTGTCTACTCTGGTGATTTATACATCATTCCTAACTGCGAT